AAAAAAAAAAAAAAAAAAAAAAAAAAAAAAAAAAAAAAAAATTGATAAAGTCCCCAAAGACTGAATTTCTTTCTAGCCTAAAGCCTCCACAGGGTCAAGAGACAGTCTTTTTGTTGGACTGTATTTAGGACAAGATTGTAGTTTTGGTATGAAGAGAAGATTACCTATCCATCGGCAGAAGACTCTGGTGATAGGTATCTATCTCACTCGTTCTTTGCATGTTACGATCTGTGGTTTGAACGTGCAAAATGGGTGCACTTTCCACCAACCGGTAGCCCGGAGTGGTGTTAGAATTATAGAATGTTAGGGAATTTAGAGCTCATTTGTCCGTCTCCTTGTAAAATCTTACTCATTTTTCTTTACAAAAGGTGGAATCTAGACCGAAGAGAAGGCACTTGACCGAAACTGTTCAGAATCAAATCTGCTGTCTCCCAGCGTCGTCCCGCCCTATCAGCCTAAGGGACAGCATTTTAAAGGCCTGGAAGGGGCTGTTTTAGGCAGAGATTGGGAAGAATTTCTTTCAATGATAAGAGCTCTCTTGACCTCCCTATGTAAAGTTCCATAAACTGTGTCACCACTGAACTGCGTGACCTTGAGAAAGTCAAGTGCACCTCTCTGGGCCTGAGTTCCTCATTAGTCAAATGGCAAGGTTGGACTAGAGAATCTTTAAGGTTCCATTCAGCTTTACCAGTTTATACTGTGGTACTCAGCACCGAGTTCTGTGAATCACCTGATTCCCGCTTGGCAAACCTGGTGGTCCAGGGAAAGCCGGGAGCTAGGAGGAAGGTGCAAATGCTAGATGGTTCTTGCAAATGTGGGTGAAATGTAGTTGGACACTGCTCAGATCTGATCTTTGGCAGCTGGTTGGAAGACAGCAGACTTGACTCTATGTCTATGTTCGATTCCTTTGGTTTTTTTTTTTTTTAAACTTTGCTTTACATCTGTGCTACTCTCCTGAAGCTAGATCCAAATAGAAGTTTCACCCGCACTGTTAGGGTTTTGGAGGACAGACGCTTTCTTAGTATTATTACTGGGGACATCATAAAGCAAAGATGACACCCCCAAACCCACCTCCTCCAAAGTGTATGCCTTTATCCTCCTAAAGCATCCCACATCCTGTTATATTTATCGTTGGAGAGAAGACCACAATATAGAATAATCATAGAATAACCTGGTTTCTAGAACATACTGGATGAGAACTTCTGTGTTCTACATGTAGGATCACACAGGGCAGGCACCTACAAGGGCAGCCAGCAGCTCTTTCCAGACCCAGTGCCCGGCAGCGCGTCTGGCACCTAGTACGTGCTCAATAAAAGCTCCTTCCACAAAGTAGGAGTCTTGCCCTACTGCTGAAGCGGTGCCCTGCTCTATCCCTATGAGACCCAAGTGAGGACGTCCCTGCTTGCAGAATAAATCCCTTCCTGGCCTCCTCTCCTTATGTCCATTCATTCCGCAGGCCAACCGGCTTAAAAGTGTCCACCTCCACAAGGCTAGAAACAAAGGCCTGAATTTTGAACTCAGTTACTTAGAATCCTCTATCAATTCCAGGATACCAAATACCGCCTCGGTTTTATGGCGATGCGAACTGATCTTACAGGAAGGGACGCTGGTTTACTGTGTGGGGGTCTAACAGGTGAGGCAAGCTGAGTGGGTGAATCACTCTGCTCCTTGATTTGTGTTGTCAGCAGGTAAACAGAGTGTTGTCCCGATCTTTCCCTGCCCTAAGAGGCTACGGTTCTAGGACAGCTTTTGAGCCGGACTTGGTCCGAGTTAGACTTTCATCCTCCACTCTGGAGTCCTCTGGGGCCAAAGCCCACGCGTTTGTTGTCTGGAGGCCCTTGGGCATTATTTGTTGAGCGTCTGTCTACCATTAACTGGCTGCACAGTCTTGGGGAAATCACTTAATCCCCAAATTTCATCATCTGTAAAGTAGGGACTAGCCACAGCAGACTTGAGGGTCCCAACTGTAAAGTTCTATAATGAACGGGGCTTCCTGGCAGCCGAGCCGCCTTCTCCCTGATGTTTTCCCAAAGGAAGTACAATGACAAAACACGCTGGGCAGGCTGAAATATTTCCTATGAGCATTTGGTTGTCTTCACCTTCAATAAATGAGGATTCTGCCAAGGTGTGGAAGTCTGCTATAGCTGGGAATTTCACTGCGATTTGATCTGTTGAGTAAAGGTTTGATTTGGGGCCATCAAGAATGCAAAATATTGGATTATTATAGACCGTCAGAGCATCAGTCCAGGGTCAGTTTAGAGCAAAGTTCAAAATGC